GTCCTTGCTCACCAAACCTTGCTGCCCAACCAGGCAGTCTGCAGAAAGAGAAGTCCACTGTGGGAAGAGCCCACACACACCGGCTCAGCTGCACCTAACACCCTCCCGCTCATCACACTCAGCTGCTTAATGCTATATAAACCTAACCTGCCAGAGAATTCTTGTTCTCTGCCACATGTTCATCCTCTGTATACATTGGTAGCGGGCCTCTTTCAGCTTATTCCGTTGAATAAAATTGTTCTGAGTTTGTAGCTCGCTTCTTCTTTGTCCAGCTGCTCTTGCCTAACAGTAGAATGGGCAACTCATTGGGTTCCTGCTGCCCTTCTGAGAGACCTGGAGAAGTGGCCAGCTTTTGACTTTGACTTAGCCCTGTCCTTGCTAATGAACCAGAGCGTGCTTTCTGTTCTCTCTACATCCTAGGTTTTCCAGTTAAATTTATTTTGATGACAAAAATTGAAATATGTACATACATATTTTTTAAAATAATTCATTTCCCCCAAACTTTTGGTAGACCTTTCATGGGACTTCAATTTGAAATAGTCTTAGTCTCAGAAGCCATGAATACATGGAATATCAGATCGCTTGGACACGCAAACCAGTCACATTGTCTGAGCAAACATCTCAGTATCAACTACATTATGTGTGGAACATGGGAAACATATTGGCTCTTTAAGCAAAATACATTTTCCTTTGGAAACTCTGCTCCAAAGTATTTTTCTAATGTTGAGTCATCATCTAATTTCCTAGGCAGGAAATGTAATACAGTGAGATGACCACAGGAATCCCAGGGAGCTTGATTGATATCTAAATGTTAGGTGGGAGACTTGGTCAAGCATCTAGACTTGGCTTTGTTGCCTCGTCTGTGGAAACAGAGTTAATGATGGCCATTTCAGGAGTTCACGGAAGAGTTAAGGGATGTGACACATGCACAGTGTCAGAGATGAGACCTGCTCCTCAGCACGGTTATCTCTGGCATTTCCCCCCTTCGGCTCAATCTAGTCACCTGACTCACACGAAGCAGCTGACGTTCAGCTGCCATGTCATGGCTGGCTCTCCTTGGTTCCACAGATGAGATTATTCCATGAGTTTTTATTTTTTCCCGTAGCAACAAAGTCTCACTGAATTTTGTTTCTTCAAGAGTGAAACCTAGAAGAAAACACAATAATCAGAGATAGTCTTATCAGCATAAAACCTGGCAGGACCACGACCTGCTGCTAATGCATCTTCAGGTCCAAAATAGTTTATTTAAAACTTTGCATTTTTGGAGACCGAAATGTTCTCCCCTGACATCAGACATTTCCCTTTGGGAAGTTTGATTTTAGCTCTGGTTTATTTTGTATTTAATGAAATGTTTCATTATATAGACAGCAGAAGTTCTCGGATGAGCTGTGCTTTTGGGGAGCCTGGTTTTTCACAAAATATTTTCATTTTTTTCCTTTCTTCTTCTAATGGTTACAGCCAACATATTTTCCTAAAAGAGGTACTTTCAGTTTTCATCATCCATTTGCCTAAAGAGAGGATATTTTAAAGTAGAAAATGTACTGACAAAAAGATAATACATGCTGGAAAGCATTTCATAACGCTGCTGGTTTGACCTCACATATTTTAGAATCCTTTCACTTACAGTCTTCTGTCTCTGCACATAGAGCTCAAAGTGTTGGATTATTCATATAACTTTAGTTTATTTGAAATGATTATTCAGATAATTTTCAACCCATTATGAAGTAAAATAGTTAGGGACTTTACATATACCTAATGTGTGTGTGTATGTGTGTTCACGTGCGCATAGTATGTGTGTTGGTTTAATCTAAATACTACTTAACTGTAAAAAGCACTACTATTTTGCTTGAATAGTTGTAATGTTGTGTTTTTGACATTAAGTGACCTGGATTATTCTGTCAGATTAAACTTCATCCTTTACATTGTAGCAGTCTTTGAAATAATTTTGCCATTTTTTTTCCAATGGGCCTGTCAAAAGAGCTCTAAAAATGTTTGTGCCTTATAGTTCTGAACTTAACCTACAAATTGGCAATCAGAGACTTGTAAAACTCCTATATGGGGTCTGCATAGTGTTAATGTTTAAAATTTGTTTCCCCCTGAAGATTCATAAAGAGTATTGACAAATATATTATATACTGCAATTTTGATATGGTCATAATGTAGGGTGGGAGGTTTGAAAGGTTTAAATAAACATTTAAATTTAATTTGTTAGACATTCTACAGCAGGAATCCTGTTAGTGACTAACATAAATTTATTTTATTGTACATTTCCCCAAGAATGATGACATATATCTTTAGAAAGAACTGACTAGGGAAGCCATTGGGAAATAAACCTCGGGATCTTGTCTCTTCTACTGTCATGTGGCAGACTGGTCCATTTAAGGAGTCACATCTAGTTTTGACTGTTGTATTGTACATTATGGCCCTACAGCATGCAATCCCCAAATAACAAACTTTATTTAATTATTTAATTTGGGATTCTTGCTGAGTTTGCAAAGCAGTTAGCTTGCTGTCGACATTGTCTTTTACTGTCAAGGATTATCTATTTGAAGTAATCTTTCTGGTTTTGATACAGGCCACTTACCTCAGGATAGCAATAATAGATATCTATTTTCTTAATTTGTTTTATGTAAGAAAGGCTTAGCACCAGCTAAAGCCAGATGGTAAGGAAAGATTAAGACCAAGTCATTTTTTTCTATATACCTTAACCTCTTAGCCAGTAAGATCATCATAGATACAAATACCTGTAAAGCAACAAATGCTGCAGTAGAACTCTATGGAAGCACAATTGAGGGGAAAATGAGTTCCTTGATGTATTACATAACATTGTTCTCAATCACGAAGCAGACCACAGAAATAAATTGTTGAAGATGTGTGTAGGAACAGAGAAATATTGGGACACAGTTAAGTCTTACAGACAGGACTTCAAAAATGTCCCTAGAATTATGATGTTTTATAGATAATGAGGATATCACTTTGCAGTTTGTGATTACTTCTGCATAATTGAATGTTTTTTGTGCTCATAATCTTTGATTTTTGAATTCAGATATATCTGAATTCAGAGGATCAGATAATAACATACATGAGTGCATGTAGTTGTGACTACCACCTTTCCAGCATGTTGGGTGTGATTTAAAATAGTGGATGGATTTATATAAAATATTATTGTTCATCTGGCAGCTGTTGGATCTGATACTACTAATGGTTAGCAACAGAATGATAGCATTTGGCAGTCTAGTGTTCTGTAGCCTAATCCTACAATTCATTGAGAATAAAAAGTCATTGTGATTTGCATCTGTTGAAAAAATAACTCAGAAAAAGTGTCTAGACGTATAGCAGTAAGTAAGCCACATTGCATACCAAGATTTCAGCAGCGTGAAAACCAATTATATATCTTCTTTTTAATCCAGAATTGTTACTTGGGGTCAATATTCCATATAGGATTTTGTGGTCTGAGAATTTAAGTATGAACACTTGAGTGAATGTCTAGGTTGATGATTACAATCATCACGTTCATTTCACTGTACAATTCTCAAAATGTTAATAAACAAAAAAAGGATGGAACAATGTCTCCATGCCAGTCCTTGACGAAGACTGGATATGAAATTGCCTCCATATTGTCTTGATTCTTGTTTATTGATGCAGTTGCTATGTAGCTCACATTCATTCTCAGATGAATGTTATCAGCCTATTAATACCTCATTTCAGTGTACCCCAAATGGACAGTGTGGTTGTTTGTGAGAGGTGCCTCTGATACTGTGTTATTCCCTGCAGTGCTTCTTTATAAGAGCTTATGCCAATAGAGAACTGGATTCAACAGCTGGAGAGCTGTCTTTCAAACTTTTTTCTAAAAACTCCAAATCCAGTCAAGGTGGTATTAGAGCTGGGGGAGGGAGGCAGGAATCCCCTGTGCTTACCCACTCCAACACAGCCATCCACTGCCCTGACCAGTCCCTGGGGTCGAGGACTGCTCCTCACAGATGGGGACCACTAGCTAGTGCTCACACTTTTGTTGACAGCCCATGGAAGCAAACTTGTCTTGGAAGCAAATGTTTTTTGTCTGAAACTAAGTCCTAGGGGAGGATAAGAAACCCACTGAAGAGCCCCAGAACTAATAAACCTGAGTCAGGGCCCTTGTGCCTTTCCCTCAAAGCTTCCTCTTCCAGTGGGTGTCCTGTAGAGAACCAACAGTCGTGTCCCAGTTGGGGTCTATGATTTTCATTTGTTTGATCATCACTAAAAAAGATAGACTTAATAATTAGGCATTTCAAATACATGTTATTCATGGATCTACCTATAAAAGTTTTTTTTTTCTTTTCTTAATGTGAGGGGTAAGGAAATATCTTTCTTTACATCTGTTAATTTTGGTCAATGCAATAGACAGGTAAAAAATTAAAATTCATTTGTCATGGAATTACTTATAAATTACACCTAAGGCAAGATTACAGCACAGCTGGTATGCTGGTGTTATTCTAGAACACTGTTGTCCCTCTTCTCTTTCATGCTTTAAGAAAAAAGCAAAAGGGCAAACAAAAAAAACCCCTGCAACTTACATCTAAGTGGGTCAAATATTTTAGAAAGAATATACTCCATCAATTAGGAATTCAATAACTGCCTCTGTGCCCCAACTTTGTCTCACAGTTTAGTCTTTATTTGTCATGGAAGAACCAGATCATATACTGCATGTAGACATGATATTTTAGTTGAGTATATCCATCTCATTAGACTAATTTTGAAAAAAAAAAGTGATAGAAATTTGATGCATCCCAAGTTGTATTTCTAATATGTTATAGATTTTAACATTGTGTGTGTTTTCTTCTTTTTGTAGGTATGATATGTTTAATTTAGCGTATCTATCTTGTTAGACGATAATTTTGGAAAAGAAAAGTGATAGTAGAATATGATGCATTGGAAATTGTATTTCTGTTATTGCTGTGGATTTTAACATTATGTTTGTTTGTTTTCTTTTTCTCCCCCCTTCCTGTTGTCCCTCTCAACAGTCCTGGTACCTGGGCTAGCTTGGTTCCCTTCCAAGTGTCAAACAGGACACCCATCCTACCGGCAAATGTCCAAAATTACGGTTTGAACATAATCGGAGAGCCTTTCCTTCAAGCAGAAACGAGCAACTGAGGGAAAACAAAATTACAATAGTTTCAGAAAATTTAAGAAAAAAAAAACAAAACAAAACAAAAAAAGGAACCGAGGAAGCCTGGACAACAAAACAAAACAAAAGGAGAAAGGAAAGAAACTGAAGAAAGAAGATAACAGAGCAGCAATTGCAGCACTTACAATCACTAATTCCCTTCAGGTTGAGACTGTAACGACATAAAAAGGGTCGATGCTATTTCACTGATGGTAAATCGCAGATCGCAGCCCCTGCAACGTAGCCTTTGTTACATGAAGTCCGCTGGGAAATAGATGTTCTGTCTCTATGACAATATATTTTAACTGACTTTCTAGATGCCTTAATATTTGCATGATAAGCTAGTTTTATTGGTTTAGTATTCTTGTTGTTTACGCATGGAATCACTATTCCTGGTTATCTCACCAACAAAGGCTAGGAGGAGGCGTCAGAGGTGCTGGGTGACAGAGCCATGAGCCAGCCATTTTATAAGCACTCTGATTTCTAAAAGTTAAAATATATATATATATATATATATATATACATATATATATATATAAAAATCTCTGTAGCCTTTAGTTATCAGTACAGACCTATTAAATTTTGGCCCTTAACCCAGCCTTTTCCAGTGTGTAACCCAGTTTGAAATCTTAAAAAAAATTTCAAAAAAAAAAAAAAAAAGGAAAAAGAAAAAAGGAAAAAAAAAAACAGTTTGAACACAAAGGCTCTATGGAAGAAATGCCTCTATGTAGGTGAAGTGTTATCTCTGCATGCAACAGTAAAAATTAATATAATATTTTCCCCACAAAAGAAACACTTAACAGAGGCAAGTGCAATTTATAAATTTATATCTAAAGGGGAATCATGATTATAAGTCCTTCAGCCCTTGGACTCTAAATTGAGGGGATTAAAAAGAATTTAAAATAATTTTGAACGAATTTATTTTCCCCTCAGTTTTTGAGGGCACTGAAAAGGCATTAAATCAAGACAAATCATGTGCTTGAGAAAAAAAAAATTAATGAAAACACAGCACTTATGTTGGTTTAGCTGCAGCCTCCTCGGAGGTAGAATTTATTTATTTAAAATTACTGGTTGCATCAAGAACCCATAGGGTGTACAAAAGGTTCTATAAAATCTGCATCATAGAGACAAAGAGGCAGGCAATCCATGGCACGAGGGAAAAGCTTATAGTTTACAAACTGGGAATACCAGGGTGTAGGATATAAAAATGCACTCTTGAGCAAACACGTGTCATCAGGGTGCTGCAAACTTGCATGGTGCTTTCAGACGTTAGCCTTGTTCAACACATTCTTGCATTGACAGATCCGTAGTGTGCATGGGCAGACACATGTTGCCTCAATGTCTCTTAAAATTTTTAATTAAAAATACTCTTTCCAGTAATCCTAATTTGCACGAAGATATAATGTCCACATTACGTGCCTTGCCTTGAAATTTAAAAAAAAACAAAAAACAAAAAAAGAAAAAAAAATACACAAAAAAGTGACATCACTACACTTGTTTTGCTGCATTTATTATCATTTTAAATCTTTACCATTTTTATGACAAAATATTTTGTACTCCAGATGAAGAAAAAAATGTGTGACATCATGGATTTTTTAGACAGTTATACCTTTATCTCACATTTATAAAGCATATCATGGCTGTGTATAGTTGCCGCTTAAAAATTGTAATCGACCAGCAATATTTTCAGTATTTTGGTGTTTTTTCTATTAACCTTTCATGTTTTTCATCTTCCAATTAATATTTGGGGGGAGGGGTTTCAAATTTATATGAATTATGCAATACCAAGTTTTGCCTATGTAGGTAGTGCTTTTAGCTGTATTGGTTATTATAGGTAAGTACACAGATTTGAAAAAAAATAATGTATGCTTTTTGTTTGTTTGTTTGTTTTAATTGACCAAAGTGGGTACTGCTATTTTTGCAGTGTGATGAGGTCCTTTTGTGTACTGAGAGATGGACAGGGGATTTTTTTAATATACATATATATATATTCGGGGGTGGGTGGGAGGATTTCTAACACTTTACAGTGTAGCTGTGAAGCAGTGCACCCTGAGTTGGGCCTGGGCTGCAAAGCGACTGTTCTGCCTACTGTGACAAACTTCAACTTCCACAGGTTCCCCTCTGAAACTTCCCACCTGGGGTGCAGGCTAAACTCATTTCTGGTTTTCTTAACAACAAAAGAGTAAGAACAAGCAAACAGAACAAATTCTCCTAGAGGCAGACTTGGCTTCAAAACAAAACTATCTTTCTGTTTTGGTGGTGGTGGTAGTTTTTCCAGAAGATTCCAGATCCACAGTGGAGGGTGAGCCTGTCTCATATTTGGCAAAGATATTTGTTGAAATGTCCGTAGTGTGATGTTGGATGTTTCTTGTTGTGGGGGTTAAACACAGGAGTGGATATACTTCCTCCCACAAACCCGTCGGACATGCCGGAGGGAACGTGCCCACGTTCTTTGCCTGCCACTTCTCATCTCCGTTTCTTCCTTCCACTGATGCTCAGATGCAGTTGACCTTGGACTGTCTATTTCCAGTGGATGGCAGTGCACTTGGATTTTTCTTTTCTTTTTCCTTTTTTTTTTTTTTTTTTTTGATATCCAGAAGATTTTAAAGGGTTACTGTTATTGAACACATTTCCAGTGATGGATTAAAATCAAAGTTCGATTTCTAAGGAACAACAACAAACAAATCCGATCACGTTTCCCTTTCCGTTTCACCTGCTCTTTTAAACTAAGCAGCATAAGCAGAGGGAAGTTAAGAGAATTTTAAGAAATTTTCCTGTGGATGAATGAAGCCCATTAGGTAGTGATGGGATTTTTCAAGGGGGTGGTGCCTCAAATATGATTTGATTTCACTTTCCCCCATGGCTGGATGGTGCCCGGAGGCAGGTGTAACTTTGTCCTCCTTTCATTTGCCACTTTCGCTGAGTAAATTCACTCCTAAAAGGAGCATCAGTAGCAGTGACACATCACCACAGGCAGGCTTAGAGGAATGCCTCTAGCCTCTTTCCTCAGGCCATTGCCTAATAAATCAACTGTCAGTGGTTCTCCCAGCACATTATTTAATAATGAATACTCTAGAACAATGCATATGGGACCGGAGAATGGTATTTGATTGGCCCATCCAGTTTGATAACCCAAGATGCTGAGTAGCACAGCGGGATCCCAGCAGAACAAGTTCCAAAGTCAGTCCAGCCATTTCTGTGATGCCTGCCCTGGTAGAGCACAGGGAATCTCGTGCCAGTTCTTCACATACCCTTGACCTACTAGGTGAAGAAATCCAACCTCCCAGAACACACAGTATTTCTTAAGGCAGACTCGGTGTCTTTTTGGCCAGTGAACGCGCAGTTCTTGCTACACGCCACACTGTGGGCGGTCCTGCCTGCCTCTTGAATACAAAGGCCTAGTTAGATGTTGCTATTGTTTTTTAATCTTTGAATCAATTATTTTTGCTTTCTTTTGGAGATAAAACTGTTTGAAGTACTACTCCATGAAAATTTCAGATTCGTTTTTTTTGGCCTCCTCTTTTTTTTTTTTTCTTCCTCCACTTTCTCTTCCTCCTCCTCCTTTCCCAGGAAGTATATTCTGACGAAGGGCCCCACTTTTGCAGGTCTTGCACACCCCTCCATTACCCAGAACTGTAGAGCTTCAGGATGGCAAAGATCAGCCGAGGGAATCGGGAGGGGGCCTTGACTCCAGCCACAGCCGGTTCCGGGGGGCTCCTGCGCCCCTGTTGCCTGGCTTTGCCGCCCACCCCTCACAGTGCCTCTGAGCTGTGTCTCCCCCGGGCGTGATGTGAGCGTTTGAGGCTTATCTAAGGAAAAAGAAAGCGAAGGCAGTGAAGGAGACTGTACATAAAGATACGGCGGAAGACTTAATTATAGCAATATAGTTATTGGGGAATGTTCGGGTGGGCGGCTCCATTAAAAATAAAAAATAAAAATAAAAAATATGTGAATGAATCCGTGAAGCTGCGAGTAGCAAGAGCGCAAGGCGTTCTTTATGAACCGCCGACCTTGTAGACAGTAATTTGTACACTGTATAGTTTTGTTAAGAATTTTTTTTTTAAATTAAAATGCCCATGTTTGTAAAGCTAACTTTTTAACAATTATAATGGAACTATATGTTGTTTCCATTTTTAAAGTAAACAAGAATATTCCTTGTTTAGGGACTGGACTTGAGTTAAAACTCTCCAGGCTCTTAAGTTATGTATTAAAAAAAAAAATCTGTCCATGTTAGGAGTTATTTCACAGATTCCTATGCTTGAAAAGCATAGGATACTAATCCTTTTAAAAAAAGTGTAAATGGAGAAAAGTTATATTTTATGAAGGTTATTTTGTTGTATTTAGTATTGGGAAAGTTGGTTTTCAGAGCATTTCAGAATGTCGGAAGCACCACTGTCTTTTTTATTAGTATATACGGCCTTTAGCAAAAGTTTTTTTGTGATTGTTACGTGATGGTATTTAAGGTTAAGTTTCACAGAGCATTCAGCATAGGCAGAAAATTACAACAGTGCTATGTCTCACATCACGTGTCCTCAGGGAGCAGAATTGTGGACTTGTGACTTGTAGCTTCATAAGGACTCAACGGAAGAGATTGCACAGGGACATCTTGAGTGGTGTGAGAGCAGGACATGTTCTTGACCTAGACTCGAAATTCTATGTACTGTGTGAAACGATGAAGGCTGCAGAAAGTTATCCCATGTTCAATGTACAGTATTCATTTGTAATGAAACAACCCTTCAATATTGCTGGCAGATAGGCCCCAAGCATGACATTCAGTATAGTTTACATGGTCCTGTCAAGGTCTTTTGTTAACATGAACCAGCTGCATGCTTCCTGAACTTTGAGAAATTGGGTTTCTATGGAAAAAAAAAAACACAACTTTTTTTCTTTTAAATGTGCAGGCTATTCAAGTTTGATAGTGAAAGCTCAAAATTGAATGTTCTATTCCATGCTGAAGGAGCTAAAAGCTGCCTTCTTCATATTTTGCACTTTCTGGTAGTTCCCCTGTTCTTCTAATTCCTTAAAATTGTGTGGGTGGAGTGGAGCCCTGCAGTTGGGGATAACTTGGACCACTGGTTTTGCCCTTTGACCCTGCACAATGACCTTTGCATCAGCCAAACTCATTGCCATGACAACTCTTTGTACTGTGTCCGTGCCACAGATCTGTGGGTTACATTGTTGACAGTAAAGGGGACAAGTTGGAGACGGTCAATTTTTACATTTTTTTTTGTTGCAATTTTTTTCTTCAATGGTTGTAAGTAGTTTGTTTTTTTTTTAATAATAAAAAGGTTCACTAGTTAATACTCTTTAGAAATATCTGTGTGTTGCAATTCAAATGTATGTTGAGATTGTGAGAAGTGCTTCAGTGCCACTAGCCTACCAGGACTCTAGACGAAACCTTTGATAACTCTGATTGCATGATACAGTACCAGTAACAGAAGGTGGCCTAAACTCACGAAAAACAGTGTAAGCTAGTGACACTAAAGCCAGTCTTGTATTACTGTATTTTTGACAGAATGGTTTTGAAAACTGTGCTACAGGGACTGAAGTGGCAAATATATCTCTTTATGCAGAAGGAAGTCTTTTTTTTAAAAAGAAGTATGGCTTATTATGCATTCTTCATCGAGGGCATTGAAGTTGCATGGACTGATGAAAGTTGATGCAAAACGAGAAAGAAGCAAACAAAAACAACAACAACAAAAAACCAGCAAAATGTTTACCAAAAAACTCAAACAAATGAGCAGTGCCTGTTCAATTTCACAGTCTCTGTTGAGTTCAGTTGTAAATATGTTTCAAATGACATTTTCTTGGGAAAAAAAAAAATCTCTACAACATTGTAGAATGTGAGGGGTAACTACATCCCAGGCATAGGCCTCTCAGAGCTGCATTAGATTATGTCTTCATCAAGCTGTTAATTTGTGCTTATATCATATAGAACTCTTAGCATCCTGGGAAGATTTGCCCCCACCTCAATGATATTTCTCTGAGAACAACTTTTGTAGGACTGTGTGTTTCTTTAGATACATTTAGTACAACTGTAGGTGACGAGTAGTCAGTTATTGCTTGCTAGCTACACACCAGGGTTGACCCATTTTAAAACTTTTGGCATTTCATCCTCATGGGCCATAAATACACAACCTTGTATCTTAATTAAATTTTTAAAAATAGGAGGCACGTGCACAATCTCCATGTAACAAACCTTTAGCAGTAGGATGTATTACATGACAGTTACTTAATTTCGGGAGTTGAAGCCTCTGGGATCAGCCCCAGAGTGGGCCAGAATGTCAGTGAAGGTTTTATTGTGCCCGGTTGGAGGATAACGTTCTTTGGGTACTTTTTGTGGGTTGCAAATGAACTCAATTGCCACAAGTTTTAAACTGGTGTAAATCAAGCTTGACTTAATGTGATTGTTACTGTTATATCCAGCCTATAC